TGGGCGTCCTAGAAAGGGGCTAAGTATATTTTGCATGACAGAACAATATGAATAATTGTGGGCAGATGGTGAAGTCTGGTGAGCAGACTATAAGAGGAACCCAGATCCACTGTATTCATAGTTTTGTATAATCCTATTCCCTTAACCTGGCCTGGACTTACTTCGAACAATTAAAATATAGTAGAAGAAATGTTCTACTTTTCTTTTAATCATTTTCAAGATTAAGTTGTAAATAATTTGTGGCTTTGATCAAAGAGGTTTTCTCTCTCTTTTAGACAGATAACCCTGAGGGAATCGTGCTGCCATGTTTGAGGTAGTCCCATAGCGGGGTCTATGTTGCAAGGGGCTACATGTTAGAAAATTCCTACTTTCTCACAGTTAAGCCTTTAGATCAAACTAAAGCCTCAGCCTTGGCTGCAACCTCTTGACGGACCTTGAAATAATGTCCGCGCAACGTTAGGCCACTTGTCTATATCCATGTTCCTGTGAGAAATGAGTGCACGTTCTTTTTAAATGCATGTTCCTTTACACTGCTAAGTTTTGGGTTAATTTTTTTCTGCAGCCATAGATAACTAATACAAAACCTTTATGAAGTAATAAAAATAAACATCATGTGTAATGGGGCAAATCAAAATTATGTTTCACTTGATAGGATACAAAAAGAATACGGCATCGCCTCTGTGATGTACCTAACAAAGATGCATATGCTGAATTAAGAGGAAACATCAGAAAAATGCAATATGAGTGTCACTGTTTTTAAAAAAAATTGGCCAGAAATCTTTAAAACTGCTATAGTCACAGAAGTAAAAAAAAAAAAAAAAGTAAGGAACTATTCTAGACAGGAGGAAACTAAAGAGATGTCATATTTAAATGTAATATATAATTTTGAATTTAAACATTTTGTTATATAAGGCATTATTGAGACATTTGATGAAGCCCAAATGAAGTTTAATGATTAGATTGCAATGATGTATTAAAGTTAATTTCCTGACTTTAGCAAAATATTTTGATTACACAAAGAGAATGTCTTTGTTCCTAGAAAACAACAAATATTCTGTCTCTAACCTCCTGGCAAAGACTGTTTACGGGGCACAGAGAGAAACCAAAGACAGTTCACCTGTTCCTACTCTGATACTTGAGCTCTTGTGGTCATAGTTGGCTCATGGGATAATATAATAAATCTGTTTTATCATTTCTTGGTTTGTCTGTCCATGGCATTTCTGTGAGAGAAAGAAACTGTGGATATTTATACATGTTCTTAAATTTAATAATGACATAATAAATTTGTGTTAAGTGTAGTCACAATCTTCCTATTTCCATCGTGGAACTGGATTATTTAAGTATGACCATGTAGAAAATATTCCCTGTTTAATAACTTACTAAAATCTCTATCAAAATTTTCATCTTAGCATGTATCTCCAAACTTAACATAAAACAAAATAAAATTCACATTAAGAAAACAAAGGGAAAAAGTTTAATAGTTTTTTTAAAGCTAGCAGTATAATTCCCTTATTTTTTAATATCAGGGGATAAGAGATATCTATTCCTCAGCATTTGTTTTAACAGGGGACCCACATTCTCAAATTAATATAATTAATATAATATAATATACAATAAAATATAATATAATATGCATTCCAACCAGCTCATTTGATTTATATGACCTGAAGAGAAACCAGAGTATAGAACCAGTTCATTTGAGATGAAAGACTCAATTTAAGCCCACAAAGATATTTTAGAAATCACTAATCCTAAAATAAAAGGTATAATTAACTGTGATTAATTTCTTCTAAAGAGCCAGAGTCATTCCTATTTTGTGATACATAAGTGTTAAGTTTTCATATAAAAATAAAGATCAAACAGTAAACAGCACTGCGTGAATGTATTGTAATGATTAAATAAAATAAGAAATGGAAATATCTACTTAGATCTTCTGGCTCCTAACTGTTGTTCAGAAAATGGTAGGGTTCCACATAAATTTATATCTGTTAAATATGTCATAGATACCTGGTTACCAATAACCCCGTCAGCTGCCTCAAAATGGCTTAGCTCAGGCAGAGGACGATAATACAAGTATGAATATAGATTTGAAGAGGTTAAACCTGTCAGGACTCCAGCAGAAGTAACTTAAACTGCAGACCTTACTGATATATAATTACCAGATATGGAAGAGGGCCCATTACTGTAATTCAGTGTTACTCTAGTGATCTTAAAGAATTAAGACCACATTCATAATGACCAAATTTGTCTCCAAGGAGTAACTCTGAGTTGGGAAATCTGGATCATTAAGTAATTTCTTTCGGTCAGAGTAAAAGCACTTTAACTATGAATATTACTTCTATGGCATATTGGATGTCACACAAGTTAGTAACAAAGTGACCTTTCTATTAAACAATTCATAGATTCGCTAGAATTTTCTTCAACTTTCAGGAACTAACTATATTCCACAGTCTTACATGTCTTGAACATTGATTTTCCTCTGAAATCTTTATTTACACTGCTCACTACCATCTCCTCTCTGTACAGTTATGTTCTTTATAATTTTCACTTTATTTAATCTTCATTCTAGATTTAATTGTTCATCATACTTTCAGATGTACAGTCTAGTTTTGCTAAACAGACATTTGCATAATAAACTTTGTTTTAATGTTCCAATATTTCTTGATATTCTATGGTACAAAATGAGCTATTTTACTGTATGTATTTTTAGACTGCTTGATTCTTCTCTTTCATTGAAAATGAAATAACAACATTCTCAATCATCAGGAAACAACTTATTTCCTAGAGAATATCTCAAACACAGATATACATATAAAACTGACAGAGGGATTTGCTCAAACATTAGCTATACTGCCCAATATACTATTGTGATCTCCATCTGGTCTTGATCAAAAATTATTTTGAAATTCTAAGGAAAAATGATACAGAGTCAAGAATTGCCTAGAAGGGGTGTGGGGAAAGAAAATAGAGAAAAAAAATAATTATTGCACAAAACGACTTAGAGTAGTGAAGTATTTCCCTACTCTATTAGGGAAGGTATTCTTGGGGATGGCTCTCAGGAGCTCTAGGAAAATCAGTACACTGTCTGAATGCAAGTTGATTTGGTTAGATTTTGGTTAGCTTTTGGTTGACTAGGTAAAAGTAAAAACAACAAATACTGCAAATCTCTGTGGGTGTCTTTTTTTTTTTTTTAATACATGCATAGGCAGGATTGCGGGGAATGGCACAATCAGTGCATGACAGATATTCAACTTCTAATATTTAATTTATATGTGGTGCTTCTAATTTTCAGTATTTATTTAAACAAAGTATATTATGTAGATGTAGTATATTCTGCCTCAGCTCTTTCTGATACCTCACGGCAAGAGAGCATGCTGTGTCTCCACCAGATACTATACAAAAGCTATTTTGTTCTCTTATTTACCTACCACTTGCCTGACTTTCCAGATTTATTTCTCTCTTCAGGAACTGGCTGTGAACTCCTTATTTAAGAGCTCAGACTCTGCAGCTACCCTTTATCCTAACTGGCAAAACAGAAGACTTAATTGTTTACATTTAAGAGAATTTTCTAATACTGCAGAGAGGTGTGTGTTTGCTTTCAGGATGCTGTTTGGGTAATAAAGTGTCATTGGGAATCATGATTTCATGTAAATATCTCCAATTTTCATGAAGTCAGGTTAAACCATGTATTACTAAAGAGCATTGTCTTCTTAAAAGCCATACTGTTTCTCAAAATATTACCTTCATTTTTCTCCCCCTGTAAAAGCAAAGCACAGTTTTTAAAAATTGCACTTCCCCATTTTCAGGGTCTACTTTTCTAATAAGACATCTTCCAATTGTATATTCCTACATCTCTAGCAACCATAGCAGCACATAAAAGAGGCAGCTCAGAAAATGTAGCAGAAACCAAGTAACAGATATGCGGCCTTGAGTCTGCACACAAAAATACTTAAATTTAGGTGAACTACTCTGAGCTGATTTCTCAAGCCAAGGAGAGGATATGGTCTCAGAATACCTGATAAGGTCACAGACACAATTTCAAGTGTATTTATGGTCAATCTGTGTGACAACTCCTATAGCCAGTAACCTGCTTCTGCCCTCAGGCTACTCTGTGCAAACTCCTTGTGTGTCCACGGTGACTGCAAGGGCAGCAGAAACCCCCAGAGGACGGCGAGACACAGGAAACACTAGCAACCGCTCACATAAGAGTTTCACACTGTTATCTGAAAGCGATAAGTAGCTTTAACTTACAAATGTGCTAGAAACTAAAACTCACTTTGAAAAACACGGAGGGATTGGCAACGGTGATGGAGGAATAAACATTACCAAGTTGTCATTAAAGACAGAATCCTCAAGTCATCAACCTTAAAATACACATTACAAGACTGTGAAAATTGTTATTTAAGTGTGGTTTTATATTCTTATTAATAATTAAGGGTGATGATGCTATGGCTTAATTATAAAATTTTTCTAATAATAACTTTATAATGATATTTATTTTTTAGTGTGTTGACTTAACTCCTGTGGGTGACAGTAGCCCCAAAGGCAACACATGTCTTTTGGGACCACCTTCAGATCCCGATGTGATACAGGCTTTGGATAATCTGTTCAGCCAAGAATTACTAACTGGTATTTGGTGAGTGTGGTGGTGAGCTCCCTCTATGTAGGTATCTGGAATTGTAATGACAATCAATGTCAGTCCAAAGCGAGTTTTGCATTTACAGTATAAAGAGATTCTATGAGTTCATGGAAATGCAATGATTGGAAAAAAGTGAAGAATATTAAATATACTACATATTTATGTATCTATTTATGCATTTAGAATGCAAGAAAAAAGAAAAAATAAACAGAACTTGGAAAAAACTAAATGAAAATAATTGTATCCTCTATAGGGGAAGAGTAATCTGCTGAGTTACAAATAAGATGTTCACATCAACCTGCAGAAAATAAATGTGAAAACACCTTGTAGCAACAGATACAATTTTGGCTTGTCTACTCACCCACAGGAGACATTTCTGGGACACTGGCAACATATGGTCCGTCCAAAAACTTGGGCTCATTATCATTAATATCCTGCACTTTGATGATGAATTCTGATTCGGGTTCCAGGGGCCGCCTGGTTTCTATGTCCACAGCCTGAGCACGAAGCGTGTAGAAAGGTTTTTCCTCTCTGTCCAGACTCCTTATCGCATGAATGTCCCCAGTAGTTTCATCAATGGTAAACACAGTGCCAGCGCCATCTCCTGAGAGGGTGTATTTAACAGTGCCCTCTCCCTTATCTAAGTCAGAATGGAGCTTTGAGGGAAGGGGGGGGGAGAGAGAGAGAACATGATTGAGGCCGTTAGATACATGGTTCTAGGTTAAAAAGTCTTAATAGCAGTACAACTTCATTTTAAAAAATTTAAATTAACCTATATGGTTATTTTTTCACTGTTTGTCTTTATAAACATTTTAAACACCCAAAAATCAAAGTTGGAAAAATGTATGGCAGATCCCTGTATTTCCCAAAACTCCATTCCTCTTTTAATCTGATTTATCACATAGATAGATCACATATCTATCCATCATTTAAGCCTTCTGTCAATCATTTTATTTCTCAATACATTGCAGAGATCAGAAGTAAAGTTCCTAAATACATCAGCATGTATAAATACATCTATTTTGAATACTTGTACCTATTTACTTATTTTATATACTTTTGGGGATAAATTTTTACTAAAAATGCACAAACCTTAAGTGTACATACTGTTCACTTTAAATAATTACAATAAATTTGCTTATGAATACCAAATCATAAGTCCTCCAAATATCCTGAAGATAGAAATCAAGTATCTGAATTTAGTGGGAGATAAAGTAAAAGAACTGAGAAAACATTGGGTCTTTTCATTTGAAAGGAGAGGAAAGTTTTGGGAGACCAGGGAAACCTTCATCGTGGGTGACAGTTATCTCATTTTAACAGACTGACTTTCAGTGAGTTATTCAATATTATTGTCCTGATGATGAGTGGGGTTCCTGGTCATCCTTTCCTATTCACTGACAAATGGTTTGTTCTAGTTCATTCTATGTATTTGAAAACATAAAGAAAAGTTTTGACCTTCTAGTAATTTCTTCTGAAATTCAACATGTAGAATTTACTATTATAGCATGAATAGCATAGAGAAGAGGAACAAAGAGAAGAGAACATATCACTATGGTGCAGTAAGTCAGTGTTTTCCAAATGGGAATCCAAGAATTAATGGAAGATAAACCTAGTGTTAGAAACCTGTACATTATTCAAAATGAATAAATATGTGTTATATTTATTAAATTATATAAGTATTACATTATGTGCAACTATTTAATAATATATACTCATAAATGCATTTTAAAAATAAAATTAATGTAAATTTTTAGTAATATGTAGTATTCTTTTAAAAATATTTTTAAATTTATTTTTAGAGAAAAAGGAAGGGAAGGAGAAGGAGAGGAGAGAGAAACTGACGTGGATTGGCTGCCTCTCACATACCCCCAAATGGGGACCTGACCTGCAACACAGGCATTACCCCAACTGGGAATAGAACCTGTGACCTTTTGGTCTACAGGTCAGTACTCAATCCAGTGAGCCACACCAGTCAGCGCCATATGGAGTATTCTTATAAACTGCATTATTTTTCATTCCGATGCTGATCTAGAATGTTTTACATCATTCTCATTTATTTGGGTACAGCATTTGATTTCAATGTCCCAGTTTTTATATTTAAAAGCTCATTTTAATCAACAGATGAGTCAATGGAAAAGTGTTAAACTTTTAAAATGTCCATAGCCATTTGGGTTGTGCTTTAATATTTTCAGATAACTACAGCTCTCTTGCAAAAATCTGGGTAAGAACAAGTTTTGTTTCTCTTAATGTTTCAACACCAAGCAAAGCAGTTTTGAAATATTTTAAGTTATAGAAATATACTTTTGCAAATAGACTTTCTGGTATTAATATCACTAATATAAATATATATGTAAGTGTGTATATATATATATATAATCAAGAGAATATAAAACAATAATGAGGCACTACCTTTTGATTTTTCTTTAAAAGTTTTTGTATATTTTACTCATGTCTAAGAAAAGTGCTATGAATGATTGGAGGAAGGGTTCCCTTAATTCTTTACAAACTGCTCTGACACTAGGAAGTTCCAAGCATAAAATCAAACTGCAGATAAATCTTTGAACTTAGGAATTTCAAATTACAAACTTAAACCATACTATTAAAGTTATTCAGTGCACTGGGTATTCCTTTCGCTCTTAAATTTATCTAAAGATATAAGACAGGCAAAAGCACAATGCAAAAGCAATGACTTTATAAACTGGATCCATTTTGCCAAAGGCTCAAAAAAATATGTGGTAATATTGTGGAAACCAAGTGAAAATTCTAAACAGGTTTTTACAATGTGATCCAAGTAGTTAAAAAAAATCTTCTTTTAGATAAAATCAAAACAATTTTCATTTCAAGTTAACATAATAAAAACACAAATGTGTTTTCAGCTCTATCCAAAATTCAAATTAAATTCAGTTGTATCTTCTTCCTCTTCCACCTTTCCTTCTAATTTAAATCTGAGCTGTGTAGAGATTAAAGTTTCAAAGAAATATGTGAAAAAAATACATTAAAATTTGAACTGAAAATAAACTTGATTAATGTAAAACTTATCAGAGGATTAGAATTTTATAGTAGCTCATTGCAGGATAATAACTTAAAGGGGATCACATACGATAAACTGCATTGAGAGGCAATAGTCAAAATTGGTTATTCAGTGTTAAGTTAAGCACATGGGTGGCTAGGCTAAAATAGAGGTGTTTTCCCACAATCAACTCTAATATTAAACAAATGAGATTTGTCTAATGATGGGTATTTTAGAATTTTCTTCATATCACATATAAAATAATTTGAATACAGAATATTGTAAAGTGAAAATTGCCATCAATCTCTTACCTAGATATATTTTCTTTGATCATTTTTATATACTTTCAGTTACATATATTTATATATATAAATATAAATAAGTATATACATATCTGAAATGGTACACAGACATACACATATTCATATATCCTCATATTTATGTTTTCTGATTATAAATACATATATACATAATATTTAAAATGATAAATGAGTCAATACTTTCAATAAAAATATAGTATAATGATTTTTTAGTGTTATTTGAAATTATTCTAAATTATTTCTTAATATCTGTATTATTTTCATCTAAGGAAGTCAGTGGGTTTTGTTCATCCCTTTTTAAACAATGTGATGAGTCCTGGCTGGTGTGGCTCAGTGGATTGAGTGCAGGCCTGCAAACCAAAGAGTCGCCAATTCGATTCCCAGTCTAGGGCACATGCTTGGGTTGCAGGCCAGGTCCCCAGTAGGGGGCACGCAAGAGGCAACCACACATTGATTTTTCTCTCCCTCTCTTCTCTATCTCTTCCTTTTGCTGAAAATAAATAAATAAAGCCTTTAAAAAACAAACAGGCAGAAAACAATGTGATGAATATATGTGTGTTCTACTTTCTAGTTTCTTAAAAGAGTAACTTTCAAGATCAAAGTCATGATAATTGTTATCAAAATTTTTGAATCTTGAATGATTCTAGACATTGATCTCTATCGATTAAAAAAATGTTTTAATCTTTCAGCAAGGTAATTTAATTCAGGTTTAGCTTACATGGCCAAGCTACTTAGTTCATTTCCATAAAGAAGGGAGGGGTACAGAAATAGGATTCTTGTGCTTTGGTTCAGCCCTGGGTTGTTTTAAGTAGAAAAATCACATGATGCTGTTTTATACAGGGGCTTTAAGCTACAGATCCAGCAAGATAATAATTCATTTATAGTCATTTAAAAGTAACAGCAAGCAATGGGTTTTTTTTTCAATAATTTTTTAAAAGCTATTTCTGAGCAGGTATTGACTGTATTTACTGATTGAAGCAGCCAACTCCAATAAAATCATTTTTTAGTATTGATGTTTAAAATAAAATTTATCCTAGAAACAGAGTTCCATAAATGATAGATATAGAAACATGCAGTGTACAGGCAGTTGCTTTGTGGAAGTGGCGTTGTTATTTTCTGATGTTCTCCAAGTCATTTCACATGGAGCGTGAAAATGAGATGCCAAAAAAGGCTTAAAAAAGATACTAAGGACTAGCTGTAGAGTGTAAGTAAAACTGAATTCTAGTGCTTAAAAGTTTCAGTAAGCTAATCTAAAGTTAAGTATTTACTAGCATTGCTGTGATTATATTTTAGAAACTGCTGCACAAAAGAAGGAATTTATTCTTCTTTTCCCTGAGTTGAAGAGTGCACATAAGAATAGAAAATGCTTTTATATTACTATGCCAGTCACTGATTTTATTTTCATTTGCTCTTTGCCAGGATAGGGGGTGGTTACTAGGCGTGGGGAGAGAATGGAGTTTGTTGAAAGGAGAAATTGTTTTATTTACATACAAGATATATTCAGATAAACTTGCAAAAATGAGTATAAGACAATTTTATGTGAGTTTCTTTGGCTGAAATAATTTTATTACGTACAAAACAAATGACTATTGCTAGATTCTCCTTGGTGAACTAAAAAACAAAAATACTTACTGTTTCCTTTTTTGTATTTGTTTAGCTTCCTGTTAATGCCTATCCTGTTCCCAAGAACATCACAATGGCCATTGGATAAACTACAAAATCATTAGATTTTTTTTAATGCATTGCTTATTGACAAAAGAAGACCAGACCCAAAGGTGATTTATAACTGTAACCAAGTAATGGCTTAATGCAAAATTTCTCTCTTTCTGAGGCCACTGAATGCTCAAGAATATTTTACATCTATTCCATTCTGCTCCCGAAAGGGACTCATTTTTTTCTTCCTAGCTTGACTATTGCCATTTCAGAAAGAGGAATACTACTTTACAAGGTTAGGAATCCCCTTCCCCAGCCCAATGGGAGTTGAGAACTCCCTTACCTTGGTTACAAACCCAAAGCTATTTGTCATCTGAAAATATCTGAACTTGTATTTAAGAAAGTAGAAATCCATTTCAAAAATGCCCACATTTCCCAGAGGTGTGCCAAGGAAGAGCAAAGAACAAAGGCTATTTGCAATGCTTGGGAGGAACAAAAGGTAACGTTTTAGGATACTTTATACATCCTGCTGTTAAAAAGACATAACAGGCCCAAAACGGAGTCACTTGTGCTAAGCCCCACATCACTAAAGCAAATCAATACCGAGTCAATACCTAACCTAACTGCAATCTCAACCTCTCTCAGGAATGTAACCTTTAGCCAGGCAAAAAGG